AATTATCCAACGATTAACCTTTTTACAGTTACTCCTCAGGAGAATGAACGGTTAATGTGTTCATGTAATCGAGATTATATTTGGACAATCATGTCATCCTTATGGTCGTCAGTGAACTGAGTTGTGCATCAGAACTCTAACAACAGGTTTGTAAAAAACCTTTATTCTCTCTTTATAATGTGACTTGTATTCTCTGCATCAGGATATTGAACAGGATCTTCCCAGATTAAGTCCCGATTAAACTGATTTCACACAATATAGTGACAATTGATGAGAAATCAAAGTTAGAAAAATCGTTGTGAGATGTGCCATGATGCAACAGTTTCCTGTATCCTCCACTGATCAAAACCTTTTTCCTTGTGGCTGAAAGCTTAGAGATAATATCAAACTTTGTATCTTCTATCTGTCATCCCATGTATTATTTTTATATGCTACACAATATATAACACACACGGCTCTAAAAGGCAAGAATTCTTCATCTTTTGCCAATTTTTTTTTTTTTTTTGCTCTTCTCTCCTCTGACACAGCTCTTTCTCTCAGCCTTGAGGCCTGATCCACTAATTTCAGCCTGGCAAGGAAGCAAAGACACAGATGGGAATCCTTTAGTTAATCTGGTTAATCTCATTTGCCATTTGCATTTTTTTTTTTCCACGCTTTACCCCCGACCAAATCATCTCATACAGCACTTTGATTTTTCTGCATACCTGTTTACTCACTTTATATTGAACACACACATTTTAACTGTGGAGCACTAGCAGATGCAGGAGATGTGCTTGATTAAATTTGTGTCGGATTATTAGATTAAGAGGAAGGGAAGAGTAGTTGTTCAGTTTTTTTCTCACATTTTCACTCATCTTCACGTCATGATTCATGGTTGAGATCAAACCCCAGGATGCAGACTCATAAGTCTTGATGAACAAGAACTTTCATTTTATTTGATATCCGATACCGATACTTATCCGATATTGATATTTTTATACGGCACTTTGATTTATCGTTTTATAACACTACTTTTATTTTAATTGCATTTTACTGTACTTTATATGTTGTCTGTTTAAAACAGGTCGCTCTTGAAAATGAGTTCTTGTGACTCAATGAGACTAACTCGTTTAAATAAAAGTTGAATGAAAAAAATGAAGAGTTCAATGACATCAAAACATAAAGACCGACGTGGCTGCAAATAATAAAAGGCAAGACAGAAACAGACGAGACGAGAGAACCATCAGGGGAAACAAACAGCCTTAAAGGGCGAAGCCTATACGAAATAGAACTGATGACAGCTGAGCCTAATGAATACGAGGAACAGGTGTGAGATGAACGGCAGGAACTGGAGAACAGAATTGATGGAGGGAGAGAGAAGATGACCAGTGGAAACAATTACAGAGAACCCAGGATCACCACATCATATGTTTTATATTATATTTCTTGTTCAATTTTTAGTACTTTAGTTTGTACCCTATTGCATGCTTCAGTATTTCTTTTTTTTGGGGGGGGGGGGGGGGTTGTGAGTCAAATCGATTCTTCTCATCCTGAACATTTCATTGCATTGTTGACCGTATGCTAACATGCATATGACAAATAAACAACTTATCTAAATTAACATAAATATTTTACAGCTGAGTGACAATGACCTTGAAGAAGAGCTACAAGCCCAGAAACATGTTTAGACACATATTTTTAAGTGTTATGATTAGAATACAAGTGTCTGTTAACAAAATATCTCCTGAAGGATTCTTTAGGAGTTCACAGACAGTAATCGCCAGATGTTCAAGTTCAAGTGGTGTTTATTTGTCATATGCAAGTTAACACAAAGTTAACAGAAAGTTAACACAACAAAGTTAACACAAAGTTAACACAAGTTTAACAGAAAGTTAACACAAAGTTAACACAAAGTTAACACAAGGTTAACACAAAGTTAACACAAGTTTAACAGAAAGTTAACACAAGTTTAACACAAAGTTAACACAAGTTTAACAGAAAGTTAACACAAAGTTAACACAAGTTTAACACAAAGTTAACACAAGTTTAACAGAAA